AATCAATTTATTGGGGCCCATAAAATTCATCACAATACATAGATCAATTGTGTAAAGCACATCTATACATTTGTTGCCCTCATTAGCATGAGGTCAACATGGTGTCATCGACAGTTCATTCTTTAACTTGCCTCTTTCTCTCACGTTGTACTATAAACATCAAGACATTGCTAGCAGTATCTTCAAAATTATGTCTGGAAATCTCTTTAGCTTAAGTATCCAAGCGAAATTCATTGGTTTATTTTCTATACTCCAGACCACAGTATTTCTAATCTTCCCACCGCCACAATAAAAGAATTCCTTTACACCCAAGGTCATATAATAGTTTCATACTTTTCTTTTTTATTAAATTAAATTAATTTATTTTTAAATCATTTTATTGCGGGGCTCGTACAACTCTTATCACAATCCATACATCCATCCATTGTGTCAAGCACATTTGTCCATTTGTTGCCATCATCATTCTCAAAACATTTTCTTTCTACTTGAGCCCTTGGTATCAACTGCTCATTTGTTCCCCCTCCCTTCCACCCCCAACCCCACCCCCACTTTTTTCTTTTAAGCCCTCCCAGCTAGGCTACTTGAGGCCCACTGGACTCATAACAGTGGCTGCAGTGTTCTTCCAACTTTTACCCATCCCCTCATCTCTAAGCCATTGTTACTTCGGCTCCCTCTCTTTCAAAAAGCAACATTTGCTCTGATTACCAAGGTTGCATAACCCATCACTTTGAGCCTGTGGCTTCAAGCAAAACATAATTCTTATTTTCTGTGGGGCAGAAATTTGAGAGGAGTTTTTTTGAGATTCGAATCAGGTTTTTCCTAAAACTGCCACAACCTGAAGGATGTCACTTCTCCTGTGGCTCAGGCACTCAGGGGGCAAGTTGGTGCTGAGGCCCCAGGTGTGTGTCACCATGAGTCTAGGTGGATGTCCTCACAGCAAGACACCTAGCTTCCCCCAGAGCATACCACCCAGGAGATCAAGACTAAAGCCGTGATGCCTTTCTAACCAAGCCTCAGAAAACATAAAGATCTACTTTGAATAGCCTTATTTAGTCATTCTTTAAAGTCTCTAGATAAATATACAAGGAGCCTGGGCGGCGTGGGGGGTTATATAGACATTGGGCTATTAACCATAAGGTCACAAGTTTGAAGCTACCACATGCTTTGAGGGAGAACGATGAGGCTGTCTGCTCCCATAAAGGTTTATGGCCTTGCAAACCGACTGTGAGTCGTAAGCAACTTGATTTGCATGAGCTTTTTGGTGTGAGATAAGTATAGAATCAACTATGAATACACACACACA